CAAAAATTTCAAGTGAACAACAGAAACATATTTGACTTTGTGTAAGTTGTTTACGATGAGAGTAGCCAGTTTCTTTTTGCGCTTTGCTTTTACGCTTCTCGCTGTCTGTCTGTTTGTCTGTTTGCCCGTCCGTCTGTCTGTCCGTGTTTTGATTCAACTAGTGTGTGTGCGCCCGCGCACAATAAACACCATCAAATGTGTTGTGCTCAGGCATTAACCGGACCGTTTTCAATTACGCTCAATTTGCATATCGTTCCAACGCACACAGTCTCTCTTAGCCTCACCTGCATACCGACTCTCACCTCGGAATGACGGTGTGTGTGTGTGTGTGTAGTTTAAAGATGCGTTTGAGTAAAACAATTATTATCTCAAGAAACCCGAACTGATATGCATGCGCTTTCGTACACCCTCGGAAGAATGCACGATAAACAATGGTCGAGTTCATCCACGTTGACCCCGCTAAGCCTCGGTGTGTGTGTGAGAGAGAGGGGGTGAGGTGAAAATCGGATCAGCAAGAGACACACACATCCGTAAAGCATATACGCTCACAAGTCATTATAGGTTCGACTCAACAATAACGATGATGCGTTCGGTAGAGTTCACTCAACATTCAGGCTATCTATTTTAATTGAGTGTGTGTGTGTGTATGTGTGTGTGAAGATTGAGCAGATACAGATACGAGAATTACGCACGAGCTGAGGTCGACAACAGTTTCTCTCGTATCACCAACTAACCCAGGCGTGAAAGCCCCACACAGTGTGGTTTGAATCTCTTCCTCTATCTCGTCACCGAGGCCTTTTCGGTTGGAGAGTGTTGGACAGTGTGTTGACAACCGGGACAATTTGCGATCACATTCTGTTTGAGCATACGGATGAAAGCAAGGCATGTGTTACCACGACCGGATCGGTCTCTCCAGCACCCCAACCCTGACCAAATACACATGACCGACCTAACACCTTGAATGAATTTGATGAATAATGATGAGAAATTGCGGTGCGACTGGAATCATTTGTTCTGTAAACACACACTCAAGTGGTCCTCCCACACCCCTCACCCACACACACTTTCACCTCCACCTCTTCGCAGTTCGGTAAACTCCCGTGTCCACCATCTCGACAACATTACCGGAATCGGATAGTTCATCCATCTCCTCTCTAAATTGTTTCGCTTTATTTTGGTCTATGTGTGTGTGTGTGCGCGCGCGCACGCGCTTAGTTCGGAGTTGAAATGAGTCCAGGTGACTAACCGCTTTACCTCTTCCGAAGGAAGCAAGACTTGTATTGTATTCGAAAACGGTCCAGTTGATAAATTAATTCTTACTGTAGTGAAATACATTCAAAGTGATCCAGTGCATTCGTGACCTGTGAGTGTGGGGGGGGGGCGAAGTGGATGATGATGGTGCCGATTGATAAGAGGATGGAGAGACAGTCAATCGATAATAATTGATTTTGTGAATACGTGTCACTTGTCACTACTAATTCGTAGTGATCATTTCTGGCGAAACTAAGGACATCTCAAAAGGTGACATTCGTCGTGTATATTGCAAATGAAGCGTGAACTGCAAAGCTGTGAAGCACTGGACAGCTGTTTTGACCTAGTTGGGTCTCATCATCAGCAGTGTCAATCAGTCGGGTTGTGAACGTGTCCAACCGAGTGCTTAGATAAGCGAGGCGTGAGGCTCGCAACAAGCTCGCAAAGCTGGGTTGTGCAATATCGTATAAATGGAAAATGAAAGACGGTGTGATCAGCTGTCTGGTGACAAAGTGGGTAGCATGCTTGCGTTCTATCAATGAGGTCCCGGGTCCGATCCCCAGTTGGAGATCAATGGATTCGCACCGGTGATGAGACCCAATCAGGTGAAAACAGCTGTCTAGCAGTGCTTCCTAGCTCTTCAATTTACACTTCATATGCTTTATATACGACAAATTCCCATTCCGAATTGAATCAAATCCTCCATTACTCACAAGAAACTAAGAATACTCGACATAGGAAATCGTAATTAATCACACGAGATCCGTAGATGAATCCATGGGTCTCACTGCAAAATCTTAGGCGCTGAGTTCATGATCATTGAGGAAATTAACTTGTCTTACCCCCGACCAACGAAAACCCCCAAAAAAGCACAAATGCGTTGGTGACAACGTTCCGATCCTCTAAGAAGTCGCAGGGCTGAGATGAACCGATTAAACGATTTGATAAAGGCTTTCCAAAAGGGTCGAATGTTGTCACCAACGCGTTTGTGCTTCGGTTTATTCGTTCGAAGGCAAGCCAATTTCATCAGAAACCGTGATCCATGTACCATATAGATGAAGACCAATGTAACTAACGGCGGGAGTATATATGGATAAAATAACTGATACATTTGTGATAATTTGTTCAGAAAAAGAGTAGAACTCACTTATTCTGACCGGGTAAGTCATGTGCTTACAATGAATCATGTGATCAGATAGATCACTATCGGAGACTATCAATGCACGATTCGAATTTCGATAAGAGAACAACGAATGGGACATTTGTGTGCTTGTGTGTGTGTGGAGGGGTCAATACTTAGAGTATACTCGAAGAATTCTCATTGTTGTCCAACTCTCCGGTTTTCATCCAATCTATCGAGTACAGTTGGGCACAAACAGAAAATGAACGCACATCTGCACGCCCCCCTCCATACCGTTCTTTCACTCATGTAAAACACATACTTTTATTTTAGTTTCAAAACTTATTCAATCACACTGTCTATTCGGACTGTATTGACGTACCCAGAGTTAATTGAGGAGATCTCTCCAACCAGTTAGATCCTTTCATTATGGACGGTATAGCCATGGATTTCCACTCGTGCGGAGTGAGTAAACCCCATGTGGAATCGGATTCGGATCCGGTAAAATTTGTTTTCATTAAATTCGTCCAACCCGCCTGGGTTCGATCCTCATTTGAGTAGTACGAAATTGTATGTTTCGTGCCCGATCGACTGAACGCGGATCGTTGTTGTCGGATACCCAGTCCATTTGTGAGACACTCTTTATCCGGACTGTCCGTGTCTGACCCGTTCGAGAAAAGGTTAGAGCCGGGATGAGACCAACGAGATTTGATCGCACTGGGTGATTGTTCCGGTGAGGATTTATTTCCCGTCATGGAGTGTGTTCCGGGCCAAGATGAGGCCGCATTCGGCGTCAGCGGATCACTTCGTTCCGAGCCGTCACGGGATGGAGCAGACAATGAAGGACTTTTCCATGTGGTCGATCCACGATATCGATCAGAGTTCAAATCGTTGTCACCACGAGGAGAAGTGGTGTTTGGTCCGGTTGTAGCCGGACTAATCATTGTTGATTTCGTCGTCATCGTTGTGGCCACAGCGGTGTTGGTGGTACTGGCAGTAGTTGTGGTGGTGGTATTCGCATTTCCACCGTTGTTTGCGGTTGTATTGCTCGGTACAGTTTGATATTTGCCACTCTCAATTTCTTGCAACCGTTTTGCCTTCGCTCGGCGATTTTGGAACCAAATTTTCACCTGGGTTTCTGTCAAAGTTAGGTTGTTCGAGAATTCTGCGCGTTCTACAAGAATGTGAGAGGTCGAAGGCAATCAATGAAAGTTACCGTTATCTGTCTTAGTAGTATTAATAGTAGTAGTAGTAGTAGTGACGTTATCTTCAAAGTAACGAACTCAATGGGATGTACTACGACAGCTCTCTTTCGTTAGTGGAGATTACTGAACAAGAAAACTACTCGCGTATTACCCTCATCGCTATCAACTGTTCGTAAATCAGCCGTTTTCCAATCTGACCTGGTACATACAACCTAACAATAACAATGGCCGTGGTTTACTACTGACACTTGTTACTAGAGTTTACCGGCAATTATTACACAAGTTTGGCAAAGTGTATTATTTGACCAGTGAAAAACCTCGGATGGATTCCGGCGTGTGCACACACACACACACCCGGGCGCAGAGCGGTTCCCCAGGTTAGCACTCTGCAAAAGCTATGATTGTTCAAATGGCTGTTTGCCAGACGAAATGTGAAAAGTTCAGCAGCCCCTCGGTGGGATCTGGACCCACGCATAGATACCGACCGACCACACTATTGCACAGCGAACGATCTATCAGTTGAGATACGAGACCACACCGACAAGGTACTTACTGCACTTTTCACATTCGAATCATCCAACCAACTCGCAGAGGCATGTAAAGCCGGTAAGCTGATCGCCAAGACCGGTTTTCCTCAAAATTCACCGGAGTCCACAATCACCTCCTCGTATCAGTTTACCGGTAAACCGAATCGAACAAGGGATAACAATCGTTGATGGAGAATAACATACATAAACGAACGGGTACAAGCATAACACTGCCACTTCACAAACGCTGATGATGGTGATGATGATGATGTCACCTCGGTTAGGGGGGCATGAAACGTTTGCAAACAAATTATGAATTTCGGCGAACAGGTGAAATGGAATTCATCCGAGTTCATCCGAGCTACGAGCTACCGATTTTCACTACTTTGTCAACAAGGCAAGGCTGGTCGTAGAATAGTGTTTGTTGGGCACGAGCTTAATAAGCAGCGTCCACGTGTGTTGGCGTGTGTGTGTGTGTTCGAATCCTCTTTCCAAAACCCCATTTTAATTTGCACTAAACAACCTCTGTGGGTAACTACTGTATTGAAACGATTTGATAAGTCAAGGAGTTGTTACCTTTTCCAACTTATCTCGCTGTGTTTCCACCCACGTCTCCCCCCCCCCCAGGTTCTCCATCCGCCACCGCTTATCTTCCTGCATGGTCAAGTTCAGATAAGAATGGATATGGATGACAAGTCCGGATACTGACCGATGGACTGTGGACGTAATGACGTAATGAATTCACTGCCTGAGCATTAACGGGATTTCGAATGATGCTCTCAAACCGGGGTGGAGGGGGTAGAGGGTATGTTGCCAAGCCTGGTTAATCTATATAACCGATAATGCGAATAGTTTGACGATTCTCGACCAACAGAGAGAGAGAGAGATCGAAAGACACACATGATCGCATGAATCACATTCCACGTTCCATTCCCAGGACGTGGTGATGGTGGTGATGAAAGGGGTGGGAGAGTAGATAGGTGCAACACTTGTTCGAAGCACACAACTCTTATCAGTAGTGGCGCGGCCGCCGAATAACTAACTAACTGCCACAACGACTGGGGAAGAGAGTGGGGGAGTCAGATAGACAGACAGACAGACAGACAGACAGACGGAGTGATTGCATAAATCAACATGAATTGAAATCGGGATCTTATGCACAGAGATGATGTAAATAAATAAAGCTGACTGACTGCCTGTCTATTGTATTCCCGTTGCTAACCGGGCGCGCTTAGTGACAGGAGTTGGCATGTTGTTCCCTGTTTCGTTGAAACATCACCGATTGACTTTCACGAATCACTGCTACCTCGCTCGTCGTTTCACTCAGCCCACCACTAAACGATGATGATGATGATGACTTGTGGTCACTGCCTGCCTACCTGGGTGCCCGTGTGGGAGTGCCAATTTCGAATAGTGATATGTACACAGGAAAAGGAAACACGTGCAGTGAGTTGAACCGGTCGATTAGATACGGTGACATGTACAATTAAGCACAGATAATTCAATTTCAGGCGTGGATACGTTTGCCTACGCTGCATGCCTTAACAACCGGATTATCATTATCGTTGTTAAGCGTCCAATTCTCCGTGCCAATGTGCCAATATGCTCGTAGATGACTGTATTTGGTGCAAATAAATATTGCTGTAGACCAATTTGTTTTTCTCTAAACAAGCTTGAACAACACGTGGATAGTTACCTGTTACTATGAGGAATTGATGGCCTACAAAATGGAACAGTATGATTTACTGTCCGGTGGTTCGATGGGATTAACGATTACTCTACCCCTAATGTCATTAGTTCAATCCCCCAGTATGATCGGTAGATTCGCACTGTTGATGGTGATGATAATGATGATCGGACCAACAAACCTTGGCAAAAATACCAACTATTCATTACGCTTTAGTCATCATTATTTTTGTTTATGATGAGTTGGATGATGATGATGATGATTCGGATGATGATGATGATTTGGATGATGATGATGCCCAGCTCACAGGGAATTTTGAAAGTAATGGTACATAAACTCATGTGATAAATCAATTGAATCGATCCAGTAAACAGTAGTATATTCTTCCGACACTTATCTGTTCCGTTTTACGGATTAAAAACAATCGCTAATCGAGATCAGTGCTCAGTCATGATCTGTAATTGAATAACTGAATTGGGCCACACGGTTCAACAGCAAGCCACCAAATGTCGTGCGAGATGTGTTGTGATTTGTATCATTGATGTAGACAGTCAAGGTTTGGCTTTATCCTTTGCATATTGTTTCATCAAACAGTGTGTGTGTAGGAGGGGGTGTCATGATTATGTAAACTAAACAGCAATCACTAATATTGACTCGCAATTTTTTTTAAAATTTTGACTGCAGAGTTCATGATTCATGGCAGCTCGAATACATCACCGACAGTTACACGTGAGAATAAAATACACCTCCGGGGAGTTCCGGGGAAAATACACATCTTCATGGAAAAGAGCTGTGTAGGAGGTTGCAGTACCGACTATGAATCTCTGGATATGTGTTCATCATCGTAACGTCCCAAGAGCCACAATATCAGAAAGTTAACTGGAGTAGAAACTATTCCGTTTTCCTCTGCATTGGCACATGAAGTTGGCACTAACTCAAATAAACAATATGCTATTTTATTATCCATGTGTTTTGCATAAGCTCTGCGCTCTGTAGATGCCTATGTGTTATAGAAAAACAAGAGTTTTGCCAAGAGATTCCACGGAGAAACTACAGTGAGAAGTGTGTTCTACCTGTCCGGTGTGTTGAGAGCTAGGGACCTTTTTACGAAGACGCTAATTATATAAGAACTCGAACTGTGCAACCCGGAATCAATCTGCCAGTGTATTTCAAGTGGATTCAGAACTGGGTTTGTCGGTCCTGCATGCTACACCAGAAACTGCAGTGTTTGCGAGTTCACATGGATTCAACGAAAATGTCATTCCGTGTAACTAATCCCTATTATCTCTCTCTCTCTATCTTGCTCGTTGTTGAATATTGGCTGTTCGAGGGCACGTGTAATTCCATACGGCTCTCACCACGGTCGAAGTTGCAGTACAGTCGACACAAATCATTTCTAAGATAAATTCCTCATGTCATATAGCAAATTAAGCGTGAACTGAAAAGCTAGGAAGCACTGCCGGGCAGCTGTTTCGACCTGGTTGGGTCTCATCAGTGCAGTGTGTGAATCCATCGACCCAAATGGGGATCACGAACCCGGATTCGCATTACTGATGAGACCTAACCAAGTCGAAACAGCTGTCCAGCTGTGCTGTCCTAGCTTGTCAGTTCACGCTTTATTTGTCATATACACGACGAATACATCTTTGAAAGTGAATCAAATCTTCTATTACTCCGTTGAAAAATTATTTCTATTGGTGTTCATTTGAGAAGAACAAAGAGCGTTGGTCTATAAAGAGAAAAAAACAAACAAACAAACAAGCACAAAACTAAACAATTTCATCTTCATTTGGAACACGATAATCAACAGCTGTCACCCCTGCCCCCGCCTACCTTCATCCCGAACCATTTTTTTTTCAGTTTCATCACTGTTCTGATCTGATCCTCTTTGCCATCCTACCTCACGCCCTTCGCCCAATCAACCATCATCCTATGCGTTGTTGTTGTTGTTGTCACCATTTCTCGCGCAGTCATTTTTTTTCTCGTTGTTCGCCGGGAGGAACACAATCTGAACTACGATTTTTTACGCTGATAATCATGATCTTAGCAAGGTGATGTCAGAGGATGCCAACACACACACACACACACACGTACACACAGGTTGTTGATGTGATCAACAACTGTCAAAGGATACTCGTAGATTATTATCGAGACGTCATCATGATCATCATCAGCTTTCCAATCCGCACTATTCTGTCCTCCTCATTTCTGTTCTCCACCAATCAACGGACGGAAACGAATGAACAGTCTAACCAATCGGAACTTGTAGTTTAGATCGGCGCTTTTCCTGCCAGTTCCCCACCTTTGTCGTCGTCGTCGCCACCACCACCACGACCACCACTATCGGGCACCAATGCATTCGGTGTATTTAAGTTACTTTTGAGGGGCAAATGTGTGTGTGTGTGTGTGTGTGTGTATGTGTGTGTGCGTAGGTGTACAGAGAGAGGATCCCATCAAGGATAACATTGGTTGATGATGATGGCGATGACGATGATGATGACGGTAATCAGACTGTATAGATCAAAACAAGCGAAACTCGAATCACACTTAGTCAAACGAGTGTGTACGTACGGGTCTGTTGGAGACCAGGGAGCATGNGGGGGGGGGGGGATGACGAGAGGCCACAGTATTTCGGACAGAGCTGTATGAACCAGTTTCGACGATCTGGCAGGCCACGCCTTCCGCTGTCCTCTCTCGATCCCCTCCCATCATCCCTCTACATATTGGGTTCCACACAGACTACTACTTCCACCACCACCACCAACACCAACACCAACACCAACACCATGATCATCATCATCATCAATCATCGCATAATGTGCCATGCTCGATCGTTCTCCGTTCCGAACAAGCGCTAGTTGGATACATGTAGTCAGTCCCAGGCGCCTTGGTCGCCACGCTCTCCGACAGATCTTACACGGCCTACACCCTGCTTCTCCCTATCATTCCATC